CCCCCCTCCCCCCCTCTAAAATCAATTCTCTCCTGGAGATCGTCTTCGTGAGCCTCTCATGATTTCAGGATAGTTGAAACCCTCTTGAACATTCAGAAAGAGTGAATATGAAATTCTAATCACGAAAGGTGTTCCCCGAGGGGATACATACCTAGAGTTTGTTTTGTGAAGCACGTCAATTCTCTCCTGGGGAGCGTCTTCGTGAGCCTCTTATGGTTTCAGGATAGCTCAAATCCTATGATGTTCCGATTCAATGCTCACCGATGATCTGAGCCATGGGGCAAGTTTGTTTTCCTAAGAATTTTTTTGAACATTTCGAGAGCACATGTTTGAACATTTAAAGTGCATATGAACATATATGTACGAAAGGTCGCCTCCGAGGGGATAAATCACCATGTCGAACATTGCATTTTTGTTCCTGCCTCTCGCGTTCTCTTCTCTTCCCGCTGTCCTACCTTTCGTGTCTCCCTCCTCTCAAGTTTCCAAGCGCACTTGGGATCCACATCCGAACAGGTGCCATTGTAGTGAGGACAGTTCTTGAAAGGAAATGAATTCTGCAAACGGTCCAGATCCATTCCGCTTGACTCTACCGTTGGAAAGTGCAACATTGCAACGCCATACTTGTGTCCGAGGGCACATGTCGTGTCTCAAGATATGAAGGGACTAGTTGTAGAAGGGGCCAGCCTTCAGCTCATTGGTTGGGGCTCTTTATGTTGAGACATGCTCGTGTGCTGCCACACACTTCCGTCACAACTAGTCTACTCTTGATACAATCAATCCTGCACCTCTCCAAGCTGCCCTTAAAACCCTGTTCTCACCAGATGTTCCTCCTACCAGCTGCAGCGAATGGGTGCAAGACCGCTCTTCTTCAACAGTAGACTAGAACATTGCACATGACCTTTTCTTTCATGTGGCCGACCTAGTTTGTCCCAATCGCAGATCTTCATTGGAAGCCTGTGTCTCCAAATAGGAGCTTCCAAGCAGGGTGCAGCTTTCTATAGTTACAAGTTCTCATCATGCAGCTATTTTGCAATGTGCAGCAAACAAGTTGCATGAGAACAGTTTGGGCAGGCTACAGCAACATGCAGACTGGTGCAACCTAAGCTCAAATCCAAACCCTGAAAACTTCGCTCCTGTCAAGGCCCTTTGGGAGATGTCGGGGTATGTGGCGCTGGCGGAGTCTCGGCGGTTGGCGGAATGTCCTGGCATTGAAATTACATTAGTCCATATTGGTCTTAGAATGGGGTGAAAAGCACCCATCTTCAGGGGATCCTCCTGCATTTCTTTGTGAACTCCTCTGAAATGTGTGAGAAGAGTTTCCACCAACAGGACCAAAGGACGTGGAGGTAAAACTCTCTTCATCACCAGTGAACTAGTACTCCTCTTGTGACAGCAGCCCCTTCATAGCTATGAAGCTATGCCAGGTCTGAACTCCGTAGATCCAAGTGAATTGGATCCGTGGGTGGCACTCCAAGTGAATTGGTCTGAACTTTAGCCCTTTATTGGATCGCACTTGTCCGACCACCAAGGAGGAGCATGCGTATGCTGTGATGAGACCTGGCAGAAGTTGGGAGCCGAAAGTCCCCTGCTAGCTGTTGAAAGCTTGCAGGGCATAGAACCGAATTATATACTTTGGAGCGATCCTAGGTTTACAATGTAGGGGGCTGATAAAGAAACTTCGAAGCACCGCCGACCAATGTTGGAATGACGTTGCCTTTAGCAACTTGTCACCAGCGTTGCAACAAGTACTCACTTCACTGACCCCCCCTCCCTCCACAAAGCCGGAGCTTCGGATGGGAAGGCCTGAAATGGTGTGAGTTTCGGGAATGGACTTGAATCTAATAGCGATGGCCTCCAACCAGACGCCTTTGCGCTGGTACCTTCTTCGACTTCTTCTGACGCTTGCCCACCTGTGCCGGGTTTCTCATCAAAAGCCCGCGTGCATGCCATTGCTGTTGAGCTTCGGAATCGCCAAACATCGCCTAGGAAATCGCAAGTCTGAATGAATTCAGCAACTGATTACAAAAGTCTGAACGAACTCGAATTCAGCAGCTTGAAATATACTAGATTCTAGATCTGCGTGAATACCAATTCAGCAATTTGTCACAAACGTCCGAATAACGCTCACTGACAACTTCCCGGCAACTTTCCGGCAAAACATTGAAAGAGTTTGGTCTCGGCAACTCAAGTCACTTAAGCCTGAATGATTTGGATTGCAAGGATCTGAATGAATCTGCAGCAACGTCTTCCAAATTGTGAAAGCGGAAGGAACTCCTGATAAGAGTGTAGATTTGGCCTCAGCATCCCAAAAGTGTGATCCCGGAGGTTTCATCAAACAGGACAGTCCGCATGACTTTGGTTTCCGCAGCTTGTGAAAAGTCTGGTCTGGTTTGTGGACTTTTCTTAGATGCACCGCTGATGAGTGGTTCAACTTTATGGTCTCGTGGGACTGGTCGGGTGCTCCAAATTTTCCATTCTTCAGGTAAGCATTCAGAGACTTGGGATCCTAGCTCCAAACTGTCTTTGGTACTGTGTAACGAGCCAAAAAACATCCCGGACATAGCGCTAGTGAACTCACCAACCTTCACACTGTCGCTAAACCTCCGAGGATCATCGGCCCGGAGCAGCTGGGCCCTGGTGCGCTGGACTTACAAACGCTACAACTGCGTTGTGCCCAGGAGACGTGGATTCTCGAATTCTACTGGGTTAACGAGATCAGAGTTCACAGATTGGTCAAAAAGTGTTTCGAAAGGTCAGGACTCTGTCAGTTTGAGTGAACATATGCATGCTGCTGCATGCTCTTATATACATTACACAACTCGCCAGCAGTTTTGTTGTTTTTGCTTCGATTCACCATCAGATCAAGAAGAGGTTGAGTGTCCATCCAGTCAAGAGCCTGAAACCTGTCATCCTTCCATGGGTCAGGGGAGGTCAAATAGATGATGTTGTTGATCCCTTGTGGTTTTCTTTCTTTCCTTTTCCTTCCTTTGGGATCGGTCATTGATGGTGTACGAAAGGAAAAGGAAAGGTTAACCGCTGTAGGGAATTAGATGAGCGGTGTAAGGACTTCCTCACTGTCACTACGAAAATCGAAGAGGGACAAAGGAAAGAAAGAATTATATCTATTGACCGGCATATTTTTGCCCTCGCTTTTCCCCTTCGTATTTTTTAGGAGATTGTACCGCCGGTCTATTTTAATATATTATTCCCACTTATTTTATGGTTTACACATCTCTTCATTATAACAAAATAAGTGGGACATGAAAGATATTAATATTAATGGGCATATTTTGCATTAGAGAAGCTTCATCAGCAAAATATGCTAGATTATTATTAATTATTAATGATGATGAATTTTCTCGTGTAAAAAAGTAAAGCTTCTATAAAATTCATCATCATGAATCATATATTTATTCTTTATCGTGGTTATGGTGTCTCATACTCACAGGGAGGCCCAACACAAGGTGACAAGTCGCATCAAGGTGACAAGTTCCGCCCCATGGGGTCCTCTTCAAAATCTTCCAAATCCTCCTCCTCGTCATCATCATCATTCTTTTGTTTGAATGTTGAATCCTGAGGAGTATGGGACCTTTGAGCATCATGTTTATGACTGGAGTTTTACAGTTGCATCTCGGTGTGGTGAAGCAGCACACTTCTTCAGTCCTCCTGCCCTCCTCCCCAAGAAGCACCTTTTCCAGACATGCAAGTGAACAAAATGCTGCTCTGCTGCTCTTGCTACAGTGAATCGCAACATTTGTTTTTGAAACCAGTGGAATTACAAGCAGAAGCTCACATGCTTTGAGGGACGGATTGACTAAACGTACGATGACCTGGCGCTTCACCGAGCAACTCCGCTAGGACGACCGAGCTGCGGGGAAGGAGATCCCCGTCACAACGCTGGAACGGATGATCCATCGCCGCCTGGCACCGCCTGGATTGGTCGTCCAACGGGCGGGTAGGTTGCCAGTGTTGGGTTCTGTGTGAGGAGTCAAACAGGGTCACTATGCAAAAGTCATCCCTGCAGCAAGGTATATAACCGCAAACTGAACTGAACACGTCACATGCCTTGAGGATCTAGGGACGTGAACCAGAGCCAGGTGTTGCGGCGTCGCGTCGTTTTGGACAAATTCTTCGTTTGGAGGGTTGTCATCTGGGGCTTTGGGCTGGTCATCTATTTTCAAAGAAAATGGGAGCAACCCTGCAGAGACTATGCCCCGATTTCTGCTATGATGTTTATTGTGCATTTTTGCATTCTTTTGAGCAAGAGCCAACAGACTGCCACATTGTCGAGGATATGAGAAGTTGCCAGATGATTTACAAGGCCAAGAATGTTTCGCATGCATCAAAAAAGCGGACAAGTTTAGATAAAAGCCCTTGGCCCTCCTTCAATTGGTATGTTTGATAGAGATGTTTGAGCAACCAACAAAATTGTTGAAAGGATGCATGATGCATGTGTAAAGGAGGACTTTTGCAAGGACACCACTTCCAGGAAATCATTGAGTAGTGGCCAAAGAAGCCCTTTAAGAGATCAGATTTAGCTGATGAGAAGGAAGGATGCGACAAGATGGTTCCAAATGCCTATCCCAAAAAGATTGTGTGTATGCATATACATCTACTGCAAAAATATACGGATAAATATATTATCTTTATATGGAGTGCAAACAATATCGATTGAACCCAGGGTTTCTGCATGTATGGCAGAGTGTGTTGAGCCAGTTCGCATGCACCTACCCCTGTGGATTCAGCTACCCTGTCGAGGAACCTAGACCAACATTCCGGACATGCACCAATTCCATGTCCATCTCAAGTTTGTTTGGTGTACCCTTCGAGCAAACATGGAAACTGCCCGAATCACCTACAGGAGTTGAACTGATTTGGTTCGATGTGTACCTTTTTGAGCACCTTGGCTAGGCAGTGAACAAAAGACCCTTTGCTAGTTTAATCTGACTGAATCAATGATTATTTCCATTGCCATTGTAGTAGCTGGGAGTGTACATGTCCCACTTCGGTGGCTATGATGTACGACCAGAGTTGGCCATTGAGGAGGACTGGTGCCCAATTTCCAAGTCTACACAGGATCCAGCACGCATCGAAGTGTATGCTTTTAAATGTTTGATCATCCTTCCTGGCACCGGGGTCATCAAGGCAGTTCAACTCACCCGAGTTTGGGCCTAGGTCCAGTTTGATTTGCGTTTGCTGTGGGCCAGGTCGCCTTTGCTGCGCTACGGAGCTGTCAATAGTAAGGGACGCTCGGGCCGTACCAAGGCCCGGCGTCGGGGGTTCGCGAAATGACAAAGGCTGGAAAAGGGAAGAATGCCATTCCGTGGGCCTGTTTCTAGCCAGGAGTGGCTCTTTGGTCATTTTCGACTTTCCCTACTAATCGTGTGAAGCATTGTGTAAAGCCAGAGTTCGCACATTTTCGCACCTCCTTTCCGTTTTTTTGAGGTATCGCTATGCGGGCCTCGATGTGGAAACTTCAGCCCTGGAGGTCAGACACGGCTTGGTCGCCGATTGAATGGCGGCTCTGGAGGGTCGGTGACGAAGACGAGGCGACCAAGACGACTCATTGAAAAAGAACATTGGCAGTAAACTTTAACATGCGAATTCACTGAAATCAGACATATTTATCCACTTTTTGCAGCGTGTTGGTAGTTTGTCAAGTTGGAAATGGTTCAGCGGTATCGCCAGAGCAAGCACTATGCCAACTTCACCAAATCATGAGGGGCAAGGTCTTGAGTCGCGCCTCAGAGCAAAGGACAACTTCATGAGATTGGAGGGGTCAATTCTTGTTGTTCGCAGGGAAGGGTATCGAAATTTTGTTTCTCATACTTCTGAACTTGTATACATGAACATTTTCTTGTCCGCAGGACAAAAGGGTCCGAAAAATGTTTGGGGCTCCCATCATCCTTTGGTACGGTTCCTCTCTATTGCGTATATATATATATATATAAACATATTGGCATCAGTCTGCGACAAAATCCTTAGTACAAGGCTCACTATGCCAAAGAAATCCAAAGAAACCATGACACCGTCATGACACCCAGTATATTCTATTCGGCATGCCGCTGCAGTCTTGCACCAAAGGCACTTTCAGACCTAGATCTGGGACCATTCTTTTGGGAGGCGTGGGGCGCATGGCACGGGGAACGAAGTGCGGCAGCGGCCCACTGGAACTAGTACCATGAATCAAGGAAGTCAATTGCCACTTTCCTGACGGCCATCGCTATTAGGTTGGAGGCCGTCGCTATTATGTCAGACCTGTGCTAACTGGTTGTTGACCTATGCAGAACTACACACGCAGGAGTATCCCAGAAGCATGGCCACCGAGGCCGATGGTCATGGATATACGGTGATTGCCCTAAATTAAGATAGATTGAAACAGCTTCTCTCAGGGGTGTCGACCAAACTTTCCAGCTCATGTCATGCTTGGTTCGGGTCCTTGCAACTGCGTTTTCTTAGCCGCATGGTTTTCTCCTTTGGGACCTTCTTAAGACTCTGTTTTCAAATCGTGACGGCTTGGCCGTTGAAAAATCAGATGTGAAGATTTGTGATGTGAGATGCAACGGGAGCACTTTAGGAAAGCGAGGGTGATTTCAAGTTAAGTGCGGATTCCTGTAGACATGATTTCCCGTGGTTTCGATTTTCTCTTCTAGGTGGAATCCGAGATGCATACGCCCTGACTTGTGACCACAGCTGCGAGGGCTCGTGCGGCTCAAAGACAGCAGGGGTGGCAGTTCTTTAAATACAAAAGATCCATGGGGAAGTGATATGCGGTCCCCATGTATACAGGGAGGATTGAGATGTCGCTTTCAATGGTATTGGGCCTGCTGGATGGACATTGTTTTGAGACCACTCTACTCTACTCTATCAATGGTTGTGTCTTGCACAAGCGGACAAGAGCCAAGCGGAGTTTTCACGAGTTCACCTGCAGTAAACCACAACCCCTGTTTTCAGGCGAATGAATTGCTGAATGGTACCCAGATTCCATGTTTCAGCTATATATGATTTGAATCTCCAAGACTCGCTATCCAGCTTGGCCCCTCATGGCATCCTTTGCTGTGGCTCCCAAGTGCCCGGCCTGTGGCAAGAGCGTCTACGCGGCAGAGGAGGCGAGAGAGTGTTTGCTTGGGGACCAATTCCCTTAACTAGTAGCGTTCTTGCTCCTAGTAGCGATGCCCTTTGCTCCTAGTAGTGTCCTTGCTCCTAGTAGTAAGGCCAGGAGCCCCTAGTAGCGTCCTTGCTAGTGCGTATATGAAAAGAGTAAAACTTACTGAAAAAGAGGGAACATGTTTCCAGAATCTGATCTATGGCGGACTGATGAGGACAAGGTGGCTTTCTCAAGAACCCTTTAAACAGCTGCCTTAGACGCTGTGCCCCTTTTAGGCAAAGGCCTTGGATTGTTCCTGGCACCAGCAGTGCTTTTGCTGCAAAGCCTGTGGCACATCATTGCGTGGTGGGCGCTACAAGGCGAGAGTTCCACAAACGTGCTTGGACTGGACCAGGTGATGATTGTCATTTTGAGGGGCTGTGGGGACCAGGCGTTCGAGGCTCTGGGGCTGTCCGAATTGTCTGGGAAGTCGCTGGTGTCCTGCTGGATGAGAGCACTAAGTTTTCACACGGATCAAGCAAGATGTTCTTCTTGTCATCCACTTTCCGTGGACTAGTGCCTAGTGCACGGTGCTGGTGCAATCCACGCACCGAAGAAGATTACAACAAACTAGCAACTCAATGAGGTTTATTCGTCCGAATCCCCGATCTGTGAACAAACCTCATCAGAACACCCGAATTCCTTGTACTAAAGTGGCGACCCTGCAATCCGTAGGTTTTGAAGAGGACCCTTCCTTTCTAGACCACAAATAGAAGCCAATATAAGTTTTCCTAAAAATCTAGGAACCAAATCATTAGCGTGAGCTATCTTGCGTCCAGTTACTAGGAGCTTACTGGGACGCTGGCGAAGTTGGCCAGGATCATGGAGGGGAGCCTTACTGTGAAGCAGATCACCAGAAGCTCTTTGGCCCTAAGGCCAGCTTTTTGGTGAAGGGAAGCACAAGTTGAGGGACATTTCTGGGGGTTATAAAAGTCAGTAGTAGCTTTTTGGCTGGAGCTTTTGTTTTGTTCTTAGTAATTCTATGCGATGCCGACGAAGCCTCCCTAGAGTGCTGAAGTCTTCTGCAAAGTGTTTTCAGGGTGGCTATCCTGCGCTTAGAGATAGGCATCTTTTTGCCACTGGCATTGGAAGTTTGGGATTTGGATGGTTCCAGAGTTCCAGATATTTGGATGTTGCTTCATCAAGTGAAACGAGCTGAACAAGTATTGCAGGTTTCAGCGGGCCAGCCATTTGTTGAAGACACTTGGGACCTGGCCATTTCCGGTTTTGGTGTTCGAGACAGAAGTTCTTGAGGATGGTGCGTCAGGTTCAATGTGGGTTTTGTCGCATGCATGCCCCTTTCATGGAAATCCCATCGCAGTGGCGTCCACCCACTTGGTGGTTTTATCAATAGCTCCGTAGTAATTCACTTGTGAGGAACAGCAAATAAAAGAGGGTGAAAGTTCTCTTGAAAACTCCCCCCTTACTACTGCAGCAAGGACGCTACTAGGGGCTCCTGGCATCGCTACTAGGAGCAAGTAGCTACTAGTAACACGAAGCTACCTTACTACTAGGAGCAAGGACGCTACTAGGGGCTCCTGGCATCGCTACTAGGAGCAAGTAGCTACTAGTAACAAGGAGCAAGGACGCTACTAGGGGCTCCTGGCATCGCTACTAGGAGCAAGTAGCTTCTAGTAACACGAAGCTACCTTACTAGGAGCAAGGACGCTACTAGGGGCTCCTGGCATCGCTACTAGGAGCAAGTAGCTACTAGTAACACGAAGCTACCTTACTAGGAGCAAGGACGCTACTAGGGGCTCGTCGATGAAGCGGAATCGTCCCGGGCCAGGGAATTGGCTTCGGCACTCTGGCTGACACTGGCATTGCTGATGTAGCGAAAGCGGATGAATCACTGGCAGAGGGCGCACCATCCGTTTCCATCAAGGATCGATTAAAGGCTTTTGAGGGAACGTCTGGGAGCACTGCATGCGGAACCAAGACAGGGACACCAAGCTCCCGGTTTCAATCCTATGCACCGAAATGTCCTGCTTGCAACAAGAGTGTTT